AAACTAGAGATACCCAATTCCAGCAGCCGTTCCTTATATGTTTTAGCCTCCAGTCCCTAATCATCTTTGTTGCTCTTCTCTGTACTCTTTCTAGAGTCTCAACATCTTTTTTACATTGAGGTGACCAAAACTGGATGCAGGATTCCAAGTGTGACCTTACCAAGGCATTGTAAAGTGGTTTTAATGCTTCACATGATCTTGATTCTCTCCGTCTGTTAATGCAGCCCAGCACTGTGTTGGCCTTTTTGGCATCTGCAGCACACGACTGGCTCATATTTAAGTGATTGCCCACTAGGACTCGGAGGTCCCTCTCACAGTTACTACTCTTGAGCAAGGTACCCCCTATACTATACCTATACATTTGGTTTTTCTTTCCTAAATGTAGAACCTTACTTTTTTCACCACTGAATTTCATTTTGTTAGATAGTGCCCAGTGTTCAAGTCTGTCCAGATCCTCCTGTATCCTAAGCCTGTCTTCTGGAGTGTTGGCTATTCCTGCCAGCTTGGTGTCGTCTGCAAATTTGATGAGTTCCCCATCTATCCACCCTCGTCCAGATCGTTGATGAAGATGTTGAAGAGCCCTGGGCCCAGAACAGAGCCCTGGGGCACCCCACTACACACTTCCCTCCATGGAGATGCGGTTCCATTGAGTACGGCCAGTCAGCCAGCTACGGATCCATCTAGTGGTGATGCTGTCTAACCTGCATTTTTCTATCTTATCGAGTAGTAGGTTGTGATCTACTTTATCAAATGCCTTACTAAAGTCCAAGTAAATTATGAAGATGAAAAAGGTTGCCTACAATTTAAAAATGAAGAAATAAAAAAGATAATTGAAGAATATTATAAGTAACTGTATGCTATAGAAGAAATTCCAAGAGATAGAATGATTCAATATCTGGAAGAAAATAATCTTCCAAAAATTTCAGAAACCTGTAAGACTATGTTAGAGGAAAAAAATAACAATAATGGAAATAACAGACGCCATAAGAAGACAAAAAAATGAGAAAACAATGGGGCCAGATGGACTACCGGCAGAGTTATATAAAGCTTTACAAGATATATTAAGTGAACCGTTGAAAGATGTTTGCAATGAACTTTTGTTGGAGGCTAAACTCCCAAGTACATGGATAGAAGCAAATATTACCCTTACACCAAAAGAAGATTCAGATTTGATACAGATAAAAAATTATAGACTGATATCGTTACTAAATGTGGATTATAAAATTTTTACTTCAATAATGGCAGAGAGACTGAAAAGATTCTTAACTGAATTTATACATTCAGACCAAAATGTTTTGGTTTTTTTTTTACCAAAGAGACAAATTAAAAATAATTTAAGAGTGATAATGGATGTATTGGAATATTATGAATTACATCCAGGGAAACATCTGGCACTAATATTTCTAGATGCCCAAAAAGCATTTGATAAACTTTCCTGGTAATTTATGATTCAGCAATTAAAAATAATGGACTTTGGACAGAACTTTATAAATATGATTAAAACAATATACAATAAACAAACAGCAAAAGTGAGCGTGAATGGAGATTATACTCAGAACTTTGAGATAAGAAAAGGTACAAGAATGTCCATTTTCTCCACTGTTATTTAGTTTGGAAGTTTTAAATAGAAACATTGGACAAGATACAGAAATTAAAGGACTAGAAATAAAAGGTGAAACATATAAATTAGAAGCATTTGCTGATGATTTGGTATTTATTTTAGAAGAACCATTGGAGATGATTCCTAAACTACTGGGAAAGATAGAACAATATGGAGAAATGGCAGGACTGAAAATAAACAGAGAAAAAAAAACAAAGTAATAGTTAAAAATCTTACAGATAAACAAAAAACAAATGTCGGAAAAAATAGAATTGTAAATAGTTAAAAAAAGTCAAATATCTGGGAATATATTAAACAGCAAGATGTTCAATGATAAAAGAAGATAATTATACAAACGACTGAATCAAATAAGAGTGGATTTGGAAAAAATGGAAAAACTTGCAATTGTCAATATTAGAAAGAATTGCTACAGTGAAAATGAATATACTACCAAAAATCTTATTTTTATTCCAAACAATACCTATAAAACTTGAGAATTTTTTTTTTGAAGTTTTAAATTCATAAATTTATTTGACAAGGAAAGAAAGCTGGAATTAAGATGAAAATGTTACAAGATGCCAAGGAAAATGGAGGTTTTGGTTAACCAGAGTGGGTTTTATATTATCAAGCATCTGCATTAACATGGGTAAAAGAATGGATAGCTCTTAGAAACAAAAGGCTGTTATATTTGGAGGGGCATGATTTACAATTGGGGAGGCACGCTTTTTTATGGTATGGAAAAAATAAAATTCATAAATACTTCCAAAATCACTCTTTAAGAAATGCATTATTAACAACATGGGGAAAAATAAAATGTAAAATATATTTGAAAATTCCAGAGTGGTTGTCAACAATTGGAAACATCTGTACACCCAAATTTAGTGGACTTTGAAAAAATCTGGACATATAGAGATATTCTAAATTGTGAAGGGAATTTAAAATTTAAAGAAGAAATGGAAAATCAGGGTATCAATTTATCACGGTGGGCACAGTTACAAATGCAAGCTAGATATGATAAAGATGTTAAACTGCATGGATTCTATAAGGAACAAACTGTGTTTGATAACACATTGTTAACTTCTGATGAGAAACTAATTAAGAAAATGTATAATTTCTTATTAACATTGAAAATGGAAAGTGAACAAGTTAAAGAAACAATGATAAGATGGGCGAAAAATTTTGGATACAACATAGAACTAGAAAAATGGCAAAATTTATGGGAAAGAAATTACAGACTCATAACATCAACTTCCTACAAAGAAAACTTATTAAAATGTTTTATAGATGGCACTTGCCATCAGCAAGACTAGCAAAAATGTTTAAAAACACGTCAGGCAGATGTTGGAAATGTTAACATAGGTCAGGCACTTATTATCATGTTTGGTGAACATGTGATAAAATAAAGAATTATTGGAAAAAGACACACGTTTGGCTAGAAAAGATGTAGATTTTAAACCTGAACTTCATTAAAAATGAAGTATAATGCCAGAAAAGACTGATAAACAAATATTTGATTTTTACATGTCACAACAGCAGCAAGAATTATATTTGCGCAATACTGGAAAAATGAAGGAATACCATCAGATGAAGAAATAATTAAAAAAAATAGCAGAATGCGCAGAGATGGACAGACTGACTATGAGACTGAAAGAAAAAGAAGAAACAGAATATGATCAAACTTGGGACTTATTTTATCGATGGCTAGAGGAAAGAATAAAGCAGTGGTTCTCAACCTTTCTAATGCCGTGACCCCATAATACAGTTCCCCATGTTGTGATGACCCCCAAGTGGGTGTGGCCACCAATAAGAGGGAGTAGGACAGCTAGGGAAAAGGGAAAAAAATGGCGGACAGCGTGGTTTGGCAACCCCTGTGAAATGGTCGTTCGACCCCAAATGGGGTCCCGACCCACAGGTTGAGAACCACTGGAATAAAGGATTAGGAACTAAATATGTATTTATTCAATGTTTATTGAATAAATATTACTGAATGTATGGGGGAAAAAACCAATAAAAACTTTTTTTTTTTAAAGAAAGTTTCTGGTTTAATCTTTATGCAAGAGGACTATCTGCAGGCTGGACTGGAGTACAAACCTCAATTTGCCCTTAGAAAGAATTATCCACAATGCACTGCTGTTTTTAAATACCGCCATTAAAATTCTCGCCTTCTGGGTGTGCGATTGACATCCTGCTTGACAAGGAGGCCCCGCTGAATAGTCTCAGCTAAATGACCCTTAGCCTCTCAAATAAAACAAAAAGCTGGTTAAAAAACCTCGTTAATCTCATTTATTGCCTTCCAGCCCTTCAGCTGCAGAAACTTAACTCCTTACAATTAACCAGTGGAACAACCTGCCTCCAGAAGCGGTGAATGCTCCAACGCTGGAAGTTTTTAAGAAGAGACTGGACAGCCATTTGTCCGAAATGGTATAGCATTTCCTGCCTGAGCAGGGGGTTGGACTAGATGACCTCCAAGGTCCCTCCCAATAATAACACTACTACTACTACTACTACTACTACTACTACTCTTCTTCTTCTTCTTCTTCTTCTTCTTCTTCTTCTTCTTCTTCTTCTTCTTCTTCTTCTTCTTCTTCTTCTTCTTCTTCTTCTTCTTCTTCTTCCTTCCTCCTCCTCCTATTGTTGTTGTTGTTGTTATTATTATTATTATTATTGATCATCGCACAGTCAGCCAGATGTTCAGACTGGATTTGGCATTTTGTCTACCTATCGAGTCCTTACCCAGGACCTGGGATAGGCAGATGTGGATGTTGGATGGTATTACAGATCTCGTCGCAGGATGGAAGCAGTTCCTAGTAAGGCCGCCTTTTGCAATTGACTAATGGCAAATTTGTCAATGCCAATAGTGTCCAAGTGGTGCTCCAGTTGTTTTGGGATTGCACCCAAGGAGCCTATGACTATTGGTCCTACCCTTGCTTGCTTTTGCCCCAGTCGTTCTATTATTATTATTATTATTATTATTATTATTATTATTATTACTATTACTATTACTATTATTATTATTATTATTGGAAAACTGATGTCGCTTTGATCAACACCCTGGGCCTGCCATCATCTAGATTTTGAACCATCCACACGTGGTCGGTGAGATTATCTGGGCAATTTAGGATAAGTGGCCACATCTGGCCCTTTGGTGGTCCCTGTCCGGCCTGTATGGATTGCTTTTATTTGGAAGGCAACCGGTATACAATATTTTTTAATTTATCTACCTGTGTGCCTGCCTATGTAGCCTCACAGCCCCTTGGTTCAGCCCTCCACAACAATCCCAGTTTCTCACGTGGCCACCTGGGAAAATTAACTGCCCACAGACAGAGATGATAAAGGGCACGGAACTCTTCTATCCTGTGATTGCATCTAGATTTTTCAAGGGTTTTGCATCCATACTTACTTCAGCATTGTCCTCCTTCTCCTCATCGTCGGATTCTACACTGTCTTCCTGTGGATCTTCTATAAGGGAACATACAAAAGCACATAAATCAACCCAAAAACTCATTTTTTTAAATCTTCCCTGTTGTTTTTATAAAAAGACTCAAGATGATGAACATACCTAATCGTCTTTCCTCCTCCCATTTTCCCCACAACAACCCTATAAGGTGGGCTGGGCTGAGCCAGAGTAATTGATCTATAGTCACCCAGCTGGCTTTCATGCCTAAGGCGGGACTAGAACTCACCATCTCCTAGTGATTGGTCCAAAATCACCCAGCCGGCATTCATGCCTAAGGTGGGACTAGAAATCAGTGTCTCCTGTGATTGGCCCAAAGTCACCCAGCTGGTTTTCCTGCCTAAGGCAGGACTAGAACTCCCCGTCTCTTGGTGATTGGCCCAGAGTCACCCAGTCGGCTTTCATATCTAAGGCAGGACTAGAACGTACTGTCTCCTGGTGATTGGCCCAAAGTCACCCAGTCAGTTTTCCTGCCTAAGGCGGGACTAGAACACTGTCTCCTGGTGATTGGCCCAAAGTCACCCAGTCAGTTTTCCTGCCTAAGGCGGGACTAGAACATACTGTCTCCTGGTGATTGGCCCAAAGTCACCCAGTCAGTTTTCCTGCCTAAGGCGGGACTAGAACTTACTGTCTCCTGGTGAATGGCCCAAAGTCACCCAGTCAGTTTTCCTGCCTAAGGCGGGACTAGAACATACTGTCTCCTGGTGATTGGCCCAAAGTCACCCAGTCAGTTTTCCTGCCTAAGGCGGGACTAGAACATACTGTCTCCTGGTGATTGGCCCAAAGTCAACTAGCCGGCTTAAATGCCTAAAGTGGGACTACAATTCACCATCTCCTAGTGATTGGTCCAAAATCACCCAACTGGCTTTCATGCCTAAGGCGGGACTAGAACTCACCGTCTCCTGGTGATTGGCCCAAAGTCACCCAGCCGGTTTTCCTGCCTAAGGCAGCACTAGAACTCACGTCCAAACTAGACTGTGTTGTTTCTCTGGGTCACATATGTGTGTTTAGGTGGGTATAGGCATACATTTATTTTTTTATTATTTTTTGGGGTCATGTTTACACGGTGTATATCGGAGGGGGTGACCCTATGAGAGCTGGATGGAACGAAATCTCATTTCAACGTATGCCGATTAGCGTACATTTAAAGTGAAAATAAAGTTGTTCTAAGTCCAAGGCCTCTAAGTTGCCAAGTGTCCACATTTTGATCCCGTAACTGTTGGGGATGCTGGGAAAGTGGTAAGGCTAAAAAAAAAAAAAAAACGGTCCTAAGTCTTTTTTTTTTTTCCTCTTTTCAGTGACATTGTAACTTCGAACGGACACTAAATGGACGGCTTCTAAGTTGAGGACGAGCAGGAAAGAGAGTTAGGAAAAGAGCTGCTGATGATTTGCAAGGCTAACGCAGGAACTGAAGATTTAGGTTAATTTATTTCTTGGTTAACAGGTTCTCTTCCTGTTAGGTGAACGGGTTGGTGGATAACCCGTGATAAAGCCACGCAACCTGCTTTGAGGAAACTTTCTTTTTAACACTGAGCTGATGTCGCCCTTTCTCTCACCTGACTGAAGCTGCTTGATAATAAACTCAATCTGCTGGATCATATCGGCATTTCCTTCCGCAATGTAGCATCGGAGAATGTCTTCCATTTCCTGCAACGGATTGGAAAACAAACCGGTGTTAGTTGATCCGAGGGGGTGACCCAGGCCGGGGTCGCCGCCGACACAAATAGGCCTGTTTGCCTGGGGTGCAGGCAGACAGGCACAGCCAGCAGAAGAGCGTCTGTCTGCAGAACAAACAGAAGGCGAAGTCTAAGGGGCTGCCCCAAAGAAGAGGGAGTCAAGCTGTTCTCTAAAGCACCAGAAGGCAGGACAAGGAGCAACGGATGGAAACTCATCAAGGAGAGAAGCAATGCTGAGACTCTAGAAAGATTGCAGAGAAGAGCAACAAAGATAATCAGGGGACTGGAGGCTAAAACATACAAGGAACGGCTGCTGGAATTGGGTATGTCTAGTTTAATGAAGAGAAGGACGAGGGGGGACAGGATAGCAGCCTTCCAATATCTCAGGGGCTGCCCCAAAGAAGAGGGAGTCAAGCTATTCTCCAAAGTGCCTGAAGGCAGGACAAGAAGGAACAGATGGAAACTAACCAAGGAGAGAAGCAACCTGGAACTAAGGAGAAACTTCCAGACAGTTAGAAACATTAACCAGTGGAACTACCTGCCTCCAGAAGCGGTGGATGCTCCAACACTGGTAGTTTTTAAGAAGAGATTGGACAGCCATTTGTCTGAAATGGTATAGGGTTTCCTGCCTGAGCAGGGGGTTGGACTAGATGACCTCCAAGATCCCTTCCAACTTTACTACTGCTACTATTATTACTACTACTATTATTACTACTACTATTATTACTATTATTATTATTATTATTTCGCCTCACAAAGTTATCCCAGCCATCCTCCCCACTGGGAATTTTCGTTCCTGCTTGCCCGTTTTTTGCTCTGCGCCACTAATAAAATTCCCCTTCAGAGTTAATGGCAAAAAGCAGAGCTTCTCTTGCGGGCTGTTTTGTGTTCTAAACAAAAGGACAACCCTTTCAAAGCCGATCAATGACCGGCAATTGAAAACAAACAAACAAACAAACAAACGTGCCATTTGAGCCGCCAGTTAAAAAAACCCTGTGTCTTCAGAGATAGCCTCTGAAAACAGGCGAGGGACGATAAGCATCTGCGCAAAGTGCAGGGCGCATCCATCAAGCTTTACACTGAAATTGATCCCACATAATGGCGGGGGAAAAAGATATCAGCTTCTGTACAAATCGGGACAGAGTCTGGCTTTTGTCTGCCTGTTTTAGCGGCGGGAAAGTTATCTTTCCTAGCTAGCCAGCAGCATTTCTGCAGGATGGAAAATTTATCGCCTGCCCCCCTCCCCCCCCCCTTGTCACGAGGCACGATCACAAAAGCAAATGAATGCCACTCTCTCTTTTCCGTGCAATCCTGCTACGGCGCTTATTCCCAAGCGCATCCTACCTCAACCCAAGAGCCCAACAGCCCCAGAAGGAAAAAAACAAACAAACAGGAGTCATCTACTACATACAGCAGTGTTTCCCAAACTTGACAATTTTAAGGCATGTGGACTTCAACTCCCAGAATTCCACAGCCAGCGTTGCTGGCTGTGGAATTCTGGGAGTTGAAGTCCTCATGCCTTAAAATTGTCAAGTTTGGGAAACACTGACATACAGCCTTGTAACAGCCACTATGTAGGACAGACAGGTGGAAGACTAGCAGAGCGCATCCAGGAACACCAACAAGCAGGGGGAAGATGATGGTGAAAACTCCTGATTCTCACAACACGTGGACAAACTCCAGCTGGGAAAATGGGAGCATCTCAGACCAAGCCAAGTCCAACGACGCCAGAGAATTCCTGGACGTTCTGGCGTTAGGACACCTCAGCCACCAAGAGGCACACCGAGATAAACAACATCTGCACACACCATTGACAAGACACCATGCAAAATCTAGAAAGGAAACCAAGAAGATGTCGAGAATTTGGAAAACGTTCAGAGAAGAGCAACTAAGATGATCCAAGGCCTGGAGGCTGAAACATACGAAGGACGGCTGCAGAACTTGGGTTCGGCTAGTCTAAAGAAAAGAAGGAATAGGGGAGACATGATAGGAGTGTTCCGGTATCTGAGGGGCTGCCACAAAGAAGGGGGGGGGGGTCACGTTATTCCCCAAAGCACCAGAGGGCAGGACAAGAAACAATGGTTGGAAACTGAACAAAGAGAGAAGCAACCCGGAATTAAGGAGAAAGTTCCTAACAGTGAGGACAATTAGCCAGTGGAACAGCTTGTCTCCAGAAGTTGTGGGCGCTCCATCACTGGAGGTTTTTAAGAAGAGATTAGACAGTCATTTGTCTGAGATGTATAGAGTCTCCTGCTCGAGCAGGGGGCTGGACTAGAAGACCTCTAAGGTCCCTTCCAGCTCCATTCCATTCCATTCCATTCCTTTTCTCTATTCTATTCTATTCTATTCTATTCTATTCTATTCTATTCTATTCTATTCTATTCTAATTCTAATTCTAATTCTAATTCTACTCTATTCTAATCCTTTCTCTTCTCTTCTTTCTATTCTATTCATTCTCTATTCTATTCTACATTCTATTCTATTCCATAGTTTAATCTAGCCTTCGTTTCTGCATGTTGTGTGAACCAGGCCATTGTTAACCATCATGCGATATATTTCTTTGGATACTGCCTGACATGTGAAAATAGCAATTGTGGTGCCTTCATATGACTTCTGAGGGTTGTAGAAGTCCAGGCAGGGTCTGTTGGACATAGGAGGAAAACATTTGAGACCTGCAGCAGGGGATAATGGGACTTCATCACTTTAGGAAGACCACTTGCTAGCTGGGTGGGGATGAGCAGGGAGGTGATGTACAATTGAAAAGAGCTTCTACATAGCTGGTTCCTGTGCTTGGTTGTGGTTAGTCTAGCCCGGCGTTTCTCAACCTTGGCGATTTGAAGGTGGGTGGACTTCAGGCCCCATATTCCCCAGCCAGCCATGCTGGCTAGGGAATTCTGGGAGTTGAAGTCCACACATCTTCAAGTCGCCAGGTTGAGAAGCTTTGGTCTGGCCCATTGAACATCCAAAAACCTTTTGGTCTCTTACCATCGCGCGAGCCTCCTCTCTTATGGACGGAATTGCAAGGATGCTGTAAAGGGCTCCGTTCACATAGGGGTGAATCTGCAAGAAAGGGGATAAAAGGAACCACCATTCAAAGGGGATCCGCCCCTCATCTCTCCCCAGGCTTGGGGGACACAAGCGAGGTCTTAAAGAATACCTGATGGGAGGAGGAGGGGGGGGGGTAAGGAAAGGAAAGGAAGGAAGGAAGGATGGGAAAGGAAAGGAAGGATGGGAAAGGAAAGGAAGGGAAAGGAAGGAAGGAGGGAGGGAGGAATGGGAAAGGAAAGGAAGGAAGAATGGGAAAGGAAAGGAAGGAAGGAAAGAATGGGAAAGGAAAGGAAGGAAGGAGGAATGGGAAAGGAAAGGAAGGAAGGAAAGAAGGAAGGAAGGAAAGAATGGGAAAGGAATGAAGAAAAGAGGGAGGAATGGGAAAGGAAAGGAAAGAAGGAAGGAAGGAGGAATAGGAAAGGAAAGGAAAGGAAGGGAAAGGAAGGAGGAATGGGAAAGGAAAGGAGGGAAGGAAGGAAGGAAAGAGGGAGGAATGGGAAAGGAAAGGAAGGAAGGAGGAATGAGAAAGGAAAGGAAGGAAGAATGGGAAAGGAAAGGAAAGGAAGGGAAAGGAAGGAGGAATGGGAAAGGAAAGGAGGGAAGGAAGGAAGGAAAGAGGGAGGAATGGGAAAGGAAAGGAAGGAAGGAAGGGTGGGAAAGGAAAGGAAGGAAGGAAGGAGGAATGGGAAAGGAAAGGAAGGAAGAATGGGAAAGGAAAGGAAAGGAAGGAAGGAAGGGAAAGGAAGGAAGGAAAGAGGGAGGAATGGGAAAGGAAAGGAAAGAGGGAGGAATGGGAAAGGAAAGGAAAGGAAGGAAGGAAGAATGGGAAAGGAAAGGAAAGGAAAGGAAGGGAAAGGAAGGAAGGAAGGAAGGAAAGAGGGAGGAATGGGAAAGGAAAGGAAGGAGGAATGGGAAAGGAAAGGAAAGGGAAAGGCAGGAAGGAAGGAAGGAAGGAAGGAAGGAAGGAAGGAAGGAAGGAAGGAAGGAAGGAGGAACGGGAAAGGAAAGGAAGGGGAAGGAAGGAAGGAAGGAAAGAGGGAGGAATGGGAAAGGAAAGGAAAATTGAAAATGAAAGAGAAAGAAGATTCAGTTTATTTTAGAACATGGGATATATATAAAAATAAGGAAAGGAAAGGAGGAAGGAAGAAGAGAAGGAGAAGAAGGAGGAGGAGGAGGAGAGAAGATTATCTTTACAGAGTCCAGATGATATTATGAGATTAAGAATTTTATTTGGCCCTCAGAATATTATCAGCCAGAACCAAGGCATCCAAAACCACCCAAAAGGCGACACGCTGGGCTTGGTTTTCTAAAACCGGTTCCTCTTCACACACCCTCGAAGAGGATCCCTGTGGCAGTACCTCGTGGTTCTCGTGGCCAAGCAGGTCCGAGAGAACTTTGAGAATCTCGTTTGCAATTTTCACACACATCTTCTTCCCTGCGGAGGACAAAGTAAAAGCAGACACGGGTGTCAGGGGTCAACTCAAAAAAAAAACCCCAGACATCCGTCCACAAGAGCCCGGGATTGGCAGAACAGCCATGACATCTAGCTTACGGGTGGAACAAGCTAGCAACGGAGGGCATTGCGCAACGGGGGTGCTATCTGGCTCACCTGGGGGACCCCCAAAACCAGCGGTTCTCAACCTGTGGGTCGGGACCCCATTTGGGGTCGAACGACCATTTCACAGGGGTCGCCAAACAACGCAGTCCGCCATTTTTTCCCCCTTTTCCTTAGCTGTGCTACTCCCTTTTATTCTATTGGCTTTTGAAAGCCAATAGAATAGACTCTCTTGAATAGAGTCTAATTCTATTGGCTTTCAAAAGCCAATAGGAATTGTCCAGGCTGTCTCTGCCCTGCTGAGTCCGCCAAAAGTCCCATTCTGCAAACGGTGCTGCACCAGTTGAGTAGTCCTCGACTTACGACCGGTTGAGTAGTCCTCGACTTACGACCGGTTGAGTAGTCCTCGACTTACAACTGGTTGGGGGGTCATGGCATTAAAAAGGTTGAGAACCACTGCCCAAAACGATCTGGACTGTTTTCTGCCTCAGCTGCCAAATACAGGTGGTCCTCAACGTACGACAGTTCATTTACTGACCATTAAAGGGACCATAAAAAAAGTGACATGGCCGTTTTTCACACTTACGGTTGTCACGTGATCCACATCCAGCAACTGGCATGTACCGTGTTTTCCCCAAAGTAAGGCCTACCCCGAAAACAAGCCCTTGGCTTGATTTTTTTTGGGGGGGTGGGCCCAATATAAGCCCTACCCCAAAAATGAGGCCTAGTTTTGGGGCGAGGCGCAGGCCTAAAAAATCAAGCCAGGTCTGCCACGGATCGAGACTTGCCTTGCCGGAAGGGGCAGCTCCATTCCGCAGCTGAGAATGCGGCTCCGACCTGCATTTCACACTCAGAGGCCTTTCCAGAAGGCCTGCAGGCCGGAGCCGCATTCTCAGCTGCGGAACTATCCGATTCTGTAATAGCTTTGTCCCCTATGCCATCCGTCTGGTAAACTCGGAAGATTCGCTTTTCTCGCCATGCACATGTATACATAACCTGAACTATAATAACAACAACAATAATAAAGTTGGATGGGACCTTGGAGGTCTTCTAGTCCAACCCCCTGCTCAGGCAGGAAACCCTACACCGTTTCGGACAAAGGGCTGTCCAGTCTCTTCTTAAAAACTTCCAGTGTTGGAGCATTCATAGCTTCTGGAGGCAGGTGGTTCCACTGGTTAATTGTTCTCACTGTCAGGAAGTTTCTCCTTAGTTCCAGGTTGCTTCTCTCCTTGATGAGTTTCCATCCGCTGCTTCTTGTCCTGCCCTCAGGAGCTTTGGAGAAGAGCTTGACTCCCTCTTCTTTGGGGCAGCCCCTGAGATACTGGAACTCTGCTATCATGTCCCCCCTCCTCCTTCTCTTTATTAAACTAGACATGCCCAATTCCAGCAACTGTTCCTTGTATGTTTTAGTCTCCAGTCCCCTGATCATCTTTGTTGCTCTTCTCTGTTCTCTTTCTAGAGTCTCAACATCCTTTTTACATCGTGGTGACCAAAGCTGGATGCAATATTCCAAGTGTGGCCTTACCAAGGTGTTGTAAAGCACTATTAACACTTGAGGTGATCTTGATTCTGTCCCTCTGTTAATGCAGCCTAGCACTGTGTTGGCTTTTTTGGCAGCTGCAACTAGACTGCTGTTTCTCTGTGTCATATAATATATGTGGGTAGAGGCATAATTCTTTACTTACTTACTTACTTACTTACGTCTGTCTGTCTGTATGTATGTATGACATATTTATGTAGTGTATCTCAGAGAGTGGTGACCCTTTGAGAGCTGTATGTCACGAAATTTCATTTTAATGTAGGCCGATCGGTATACATTCAAAGTGACAATAAAGTTATTGTTCTATTCAATGAAGCCGCTCCTTCGGCTGCAGAAGGAGTGGGACGGCTGGTCGAGGCTGTCGGTGCTGGAGGTGTGGAAAAGACACACACAGACACACACACATCCCGAAAATAAGACCTGGTGCCTCTTTTGGAGGCAAAAAATATATATTAAAAAAGAAGACCGAGTCTTATTTTCGGGAAAACACAGTATTTGTGATGGGGGTCAGACAGTTCCCCGCTTAACGACCGTGTGACTGACTTAACAACTGCAGTGGCGAGAAAGGTTGTAAGATGGGAGAAAACTCACGGAACAACCGTCTAGCTTAGCTGTGGAAACTTTGGGTTCCACTGTGATCGTAAGTCGAGGACTACCTTTACTCAAGGGTAGAGTTGCAGGTTCGGGCTTTCTGCAAGGCCCACTTTCAGCCACAACAGCGCGGAGCTACTACCTGAGGTCCGCAAGCAGAGGTTCATGAGCAAAGCCACCGAGTAGGCCAGGGTGTAATCAGACATGGCGTCCGTGTCCTTCAGGGCCTCCACCAACCACGGGATGAGCCCATCCTTCACCATCGCTGACTGCAAAGCCCGCCTGGGAATTCAGAAAAACATGAATATATTATAATAGTCTAATTCTATCCTTAGATTATTTATTCTAGTAGATGTTATAACATATGTTATAGATATATACATATAGAATATAGAATAGCCGAATCGAAGAGCCTCCAAGAACACTCCCAACAACAGTGATAGGGCAAAGCCACTAGTGTATAAGAATAAGAACAAGCCCCTCCCCCTTCTAGCACTGATGATGTTGCCTAGTTGGATCATGAAACGTCTGCAAGAAAACCACCCAGCTCAGAGAGCACCAAGGACCCCACAGTCCATCCGCCCATCCTTCCTTCCTTCCTTCCTTCCTTCCTTCCTTCCTTCCTTCCTTCCTTCCTTCCTTCCTTCCAACGCCTGCAAACCCCCTGATGATGTTACCTAGTTGGGTCATGAAATATCTGTTAAAAAAACAGCCAAGCTCTGAGAGGGCATCAAGGACCCCACAGTCCTCCTCCTCCACCACCTCCTCCCAGCAAGCCTCAGTCCCTTCTAGCACTGATGATGTTACCCAGGTGGGTCATGAAACGTTTGCAAGAAAACAACCAAGCTCAGAGAGCACCAAGGACCACACCATCCTTCCTTCCTTCCTTCTTTCTTTTCTCTTCCTCATCCTCTCTGCAAGCCCCCCTCCCTTCTAGCACTGATGATGTTGCCTAGTTGGGTCATGAAACGTCTGTAAGAAAATCACCCAGCTCAGAGAGCACCAGGGACCCCACAATCCATCCTTCTTTCCTTCCTTTCCTTCCTTTCTCTCTCTCTCTTTCTCTCTCTCTTTCTTTTTCTCCTCCTCTTCCTCCTACTGACAAACCGCACTCCCTTCTAGCACTGATGATGTTCCCTAGTTGGATAATGAGACGTCTGCATGAAAACCACCAAACTCAGGGAGCACCAAGGACCCCATAGTCATTGTCCTCCTCCTCCGCCTCCTCCTCTTCCTCCTGGCAAACCCCACTCCCTTCTAGCACTGATGATATAACCTAGCTGGGCAACGAAACGTCTGCAAGCTCAGGGAGCACCAAGGACCCCCCAGTCATTGTTCTCCTCCTCTTCCTCCCTCCAAGCCCATCCCTTTCTAGCCCTGATGATGTCACGAAGGCAAATGGAGCTTTGCGCACGGTTTTGAACAGGCCGAGGCCCGGGCGTGGCTCACAGCCCAGGGCTTAGGGACCCCTGACGTAGGCCACACAGAGAGAAAGGACCCTACCACGGTTATCTGCTCCCGGAAGGGAACTGGATT